CCGCCGCGCCCGGCGCCCCCGCCGCGCCCCCTGCGCCCGACGCCTCCCGCGACCCGAACGACCCCTTCTGGGACGCTTGCTGCTGGGGCCCTCCGCCTTCCAGCTTCTCCTACGGAGCCCGCGCCGGCCGCCGCCTCGCCGCGCTCGACCCCCCCCCCCCCCCCCCATCAGACCGCCCCCTCTTGGGGGTCCTACTGCTCTTCGGGCCCATCCGCCTTGCAGCTTGCCGCGCGAGGCCCGACCCGACCCCCGCGTCGCCCCCCGTCGCTCGGGAGCGGCCAATAGGGGGGTGTCCAAGAGGGGGGGGTGCAAATCAAGACCGGCGGCATGTGCGCGGCCCAGCGGGGAGGTCTGGGACGTAATGAAGTAAGAACAGGCGCCATTAAATCCGAAGAAAAATCATGGCCCGCGCCATGAAATCCACCCCCCCCTAATCATCACCCCCCTCTTTTCCGCTCCCGAGCCGCGCCTGATGCCCTCGCCTCCCAGATGCCCTCTCGCCCGGAACCCGCCCCGACTCCCGCCGCGACCCCCGCCGCGTCCGACGCACGCCCCCCCCGCCGCGTCCGACTCTCCCGCCTCGCGGCGCACTGCGGGGAGAGCCGCCGTTCGAAGAGGAGCCGCCCTCCATGCGTGAAGCTCTGTTGCGTGGGTTTTGTTCAACGACTGCGCGCTGCGCTGAGGCGAGAGCCACATCTTGAGACCAGCCTGCCGTCAGTCCGCGAAACTTCTGACACGCTTGAGGAGAATGTGCGCGGCGCTAAGGCGAGAACCACATTCTGACCACGACCCGCCCTCAATCCGTGAAACTCTTGCGATTTGTTTGCACGAATGTGCGCGGCGCTAAGACGAGGGCCACATTTAGAAAATCACCTACCCTCAACATGTGAAGCTGTTGCCAGTTTCTAGAGCTTCAGGGCCATGATTGGTGAGGATGTCTCAAGCGGAACGACTGGCCCGCCCTTTCCCAAAGCCTCGAGGTGCGAGAGATAATACTTATAAGGAAAAGGCATGGAGGAGGATGAGGAGGATGATGATGAGGAGGACGAGGAGGATGAGGACGGGGAGGGGGAGAGGGGGGGTAAGGAGGAGGAGGAGGAGGAGCAGCAGCAGCAGGAGGAGGAGAAGCAGGATGAGGAGAAAAAGGATGATGCTCATGAAGGAACAGGCGGAGATATGAGGAGAGAGCACGGAGGATGATGGAGGACGATGAGGGAGGAGGATCATTCGAGGAGGGGAAAGTCTTCCTACCTCCCTCCTCCTCCTCCCTCCTCCTACTCGTCTTCCTCGTTCCTCCTCGTACCTCGTCCTCCTTCCTTCCCCCTTCGCCCCCCTTCCACATCCCTCCTCCCTCCCTCCCTCATCCTCCTCCTCCCTCCTCCCCCCTCCCTCCCCCCATCCCCCCTCCTCCTCCTCCTCCTCCTCCTCCTCCTCCTCCTCCTCCTCCTCCTCCTCCACTTCTTGCTCCTCCTCGTCCTCTTCCTCCCTCTCCCTCCTCCTCGCCCCCCTCCCTCTCACGGAGCCTGACATCCGTAGAACATCTGTCCCCGAACCCTTACCAGGGTCCGCCCTGGCGAAGCTGCTACCCCGGATCGGTTCCGAAGGCCCCGGGGCCCCAAACGGGGCTCCTCCTGGAGGCCGAAGGCGGACAACAACTGATGCGAACCCCCGTCGGCGGGAGATGCGTGAGCGGGCCAGATTGGAGGATCCCATGACGAGGTGCTCAGAGATGCGGGAAGCCGGGGGAGGAACACATCAAAAGAGCCCCGGCCGCCGCCCTCCCCCCCACCAAGGTGACGTCACGATTCGTGCTGACCTCCGAAATTGGCTTGGCTCATCCCTGGACATTCTCGGACGGACGGGGCCGGCGCGAAACGTGACGCTGCCGCCCCCCCGCCCCCTCGGGAGCGGCAAAGAGGGGGGTGTCCAAGAGAGGGGGGTGCAAATCATGACCGGCGGCAGGTGCGCGGCCCAGCAGGGGCCAGGGACGAAATGAAACAAGAAGGGGCGCCATGAAATCTGGGGAAATCTCATGGCCCACGCCATGATATCCACCCCCCCTAGTCGTCGACCCCCTCTTTTCCGCCCCTGAATATTGGAGGATCCCATGACGAGGTGCTCAGAGATGCGGGAAGCCGGGGGAGGAACACATCAAAAGCGCGCCTTTGCTATGTTTCGCGATGGCGGTTACGAGCCCCGGCCGCCGCCCTCCCCCCCCACTAAGGTGGCGTCACGATTCGTGCTGACCTCCGAAATTGGCTTGGCTCATCCCTGGACCCAGAACCCCTCGAGTCATGAAAAAATCATGACGGGAGGTTTTTCGCAATTTTCGGCCTCTGGGGGCCCTCCCCGGGCCTCGGGAGCGTCAAAAAACAACTCAGGATGACAAACCGGTCCTGGGGAAGGGGTCGAGAACTCTGGGGTCGACGTAATGAAAAATTCATTACGTCGGGGGTCTGGGGACATTCTCGGACGGCGCCGGCGCGAAACGTGACGCTGCCGCCCCCCCCGCCCCCCTTCCCCGCCCCCACCGACCGCGGTCGCCCGGGAAAGCAAAACGTGAGGGGCGGGAGGGCCGAGGAAGGGCCCGGACCTCCGACGTCACAATTTTCCCCGACGACGACCCCCAGGGGTCTCGACCCATTCCCCGGGACCGCTTTTTTACCCCGAGTGGTTTTGTTGACGGTCCCGAAGGCCGGTATGGGCCCCCGAGGCAGAAAATAGCGAAACAAAACCTTCCGCCGCGATTTTTTCTTCACAGCGCGAGGGGGTCTGGGGGGGTTGGTCAGTTCGGGTCAGCGGAGGAGCCGGAGGAAGAGAAGGAAGAGGAGGAAGAGGAGGAGGAGGAGCAGGAGGAGCAGGAGGAGAAGGAGGAGGAGGGGAGGGGGGGGAGGAGGGGGAGGAGGAGGAGAGGAGGAGGAGGAGGAGGAGGAGGAGGAGGAGAGGAGGAGGAGAGGAGGAGGAGGAGGAAGCGGTGTCTTTTTTCGCAGCGAGGCGCCCCGAGAGGTCTCGGCCCCTTCCCCTATGGACTGGTGCGTCCTCCGGAGCTTGCCCCTGGCGTCGGCACAGGGGGGGGCCTGGCGTGCGAGAGCCGCTGGGAGCTGGCACCTGCTTGCACTCTTGGACGCCCGAGTTATCCGGGGCAACTCGGGTCCGGGGTAACTCGGGTTTGGGTTCCCGAAAAGCGAACCCGAGTTAACCCTGACCCGAGTTACCCCTGATGATTCGGGGCTCTGGACGCCCGAAATATACGGGGTAACTCGGGTCCGGGGTAAGTCGGGTTCGGATTCCCGAAAAACGAACCCGAGTTAGCCCTGACCCGAGTTACCCCTGATGACTCGGGGCTCTGACACTCTCCCGACTTCTGCGGCAACTCATGGGCGCCTCCCATACCATCTTGCTGGCTCTTGCAGGTCGACGCCACTTCGACGCCAGGTCGGCAAGGCCTCATGGACTACCAAAATGCTGATCGGCGCCCGGGCAATCCGAAGACGACGCTGCGCGGGTGCACGCGACTCCCATGACTTGCGACTGCACCCGTCGCGACTTTTTTACGGCGCGAGCACGTCGGGGCTCGGTCCTCGATCCCCCCACCCCACCCCCAGGAGCAGGGATGGATGCGGGGATGCAGGGACAGCACCTTGGTTGAGGCTGGGAAGTGAGGGCGCCAAAACGATTGGGACCGACCCGCGTAAGACCGCTCCTGAAACTTCAGCGGCCTTTCTGATGGGCACATTTCCCACCACAACTATCACATGTAGGACGGGGGAGAAGGGGGATGAGGAGGTCCTCCTTCTCGTCCTCCTCCTCCTCCTCCTTCTTTGGCCTTACTTCTGACGACCAGGGCCGCCAGCCTCTGCTCACGAGCGGGGGCTGAGGTCGGAGGGACGTAGCAGTGGGGTAGGGGCGGAGGTCGGGTTGGGAGGGCAATCGCTCACAGCACCTCCTGGACTACGAAGATCTTGGCATCCAGCTGAGCTCGTTCCCCCCCCCCCCTTGGGATAACCCCGCTCTACGAGCCCCGACGAGGGAGCATCCGAGAAAGCCCGCTGGACCGAGGAACACTCACATCTTGCCATCCCTCGGACGTCCACTCCGTGTGCATGTTTCGGCTTCGCGCGTATTGTTTCGCGAGATGATCCCACATGCTCCTGGATGCTCCTCGTGGAATAAAATGTACAATATCAGAGGCCTCCCAGATGGGGTCAGAGTAGATGGGGTCGGAATATCAAGCTGCATCACCGATACATCGCCGATACATCGCCGGGCCATCGACGATGCATGGGCGACGTCGTCGATGCGTCGGCGACGTCGGCGTGAAGAAAATCGGGCTCCACATCGAGCCGCATCGCCAATGCATCATCGATGCGGCGCGACTCTGACTAATGAACCCCATCTAGGGTTTGAACGCCCGAAATGGGTACGGAGGAAATGGGTGCGATGCCCAACAACAAATGACGTTGTACCTCTTGTTTCCGTGCCAATTTTGATCGCCCCGATAAAAGGCCTAGAAAAACATCCCCCCGGAGCAATGGGACGCCCAACATAGGTACGGAAAAACATGAGAATTACAATGCCCAACAACAAACGATGTCCATAACGGACAGCGGCCGCTGTTGGGTAGGCGGTCGTCAGCGAACCACTTCCGCGGCAGCGCGGGCAGCGAGCCCTGTTCAGCATGATCAGGCACTGTTGTTGGGCATCGTACCCATTCCTAGCGGAACGAGCAATGACACAACCATAACAACTCTGAGGTCTGCGCGGATTTTTCGGATCGGCGCTGGACTCCCCTCCCTGGCGCGCGGAGTGCGCCAGGGGCGGCGCCGGAGGCGGAGGCGCCGCCAGGGGGGCCCAGCGCCAATTCGAGAAATCTGCGCGGACCTCCGAAATGTTATGTTTACGTCATTGTTCGTTCCCCTTGTACGTCATTGTTAATTACGTTCGTCTTTTCCTTCCATGCGGCAGGTTCGCGTCGTGTCGACCCCGGCGTCAGTTCCTGACACCGCGGGGATCGTCCAGACGTCCCGGCATTCCTATAGGCCTACCGCGACATGTTCTTAGAACCCAGCAGTGTTCTAATAACAAAAACCGCTCTCTCAGAACATAAGCCCAATGTGTTAAAACAAGACAGTCCCAGCCAGGAATGTTCTAAGAACATTTCGTGGAAACCACACAAGGTTCTTAGAACATTGTTTGGTAGGCCTATAGGCGAGCCAGGACGCGTCGCCACTGCTTGACTTGAACGATCGGCCCCTTCTGGGTAGTCGAAGCCAATCTGGCGCCAATCTGGCAGGCCCAATCTGGCAAACGGGGGCAATCTGGCGAGGGAGCCAACGCGAATCCAGTCTGGTGAATAACCCAAATCATCCAGTTTGGCTGGGCCAGATTGGCCCTTGGGGCCCAATCCAATCTGACAGTCTGGCCTTCGACTACCCAGCCCTTCAAAAAAGGCTGGATCGTTCAAGGATGGGTCGACTCTGGGCCACAGACGGCCTTGGAGCTTACGCGCACGCGCTGGGGTCGCCGCCGCTCGAGACGAAGCGAACCTGCCATTGCACCGGCCTTGCAGACGTGCTGCAGCGGATTTCTGCGTGGATTTCTGCCCGAAACGGCGCGTGACAAACGATGTGAATTTCGCGTGGGTTTGTTTAGTCTTCATTCCTGGCCCCAAACAATTCGCACGAAATTCACCTCGAAATCCGGAGCGAAATTCTCCAAAACACTCCGGGCCCATCCGATCGTTTTCCGAGCGAAATCCGCTCTGTGATGTTGGCGCGATGAAACCTGCCGTATCCCTGTCGATCGCGCCGAGAGCAGGCAGGATGAGGCGCCGCGCGCCCGGCAATGCGCGGGGCCGCCTCCACCGTGGCGTAGGGGGCGGCGAAGGCCTCAGACCACTCCTCGCCAGCCTCTTGCGGGAAGGGGGAGGAGGAGGGGGATGGAGGAGGAGGAGAAGGAGGAGGAGCAGGAGGATGAGGATGAGGAGGAGGA